TTGTTGTTGTTGTTGTTAATATATGTTGTTATATTCCTTATTGTTACGCGTGTGTTTGCCTGTGTCTTGCGTGTACCCTGTCCGATCCTCATCTGTAATTAACGTCCGTAAATCTCCCACCGTGTGTGTATCTTAGAGTTCAGCGTCTGACAACCCTGCGTTTCTTCCGCGTAATCACTTCAGTGCTCGTTGGGTGCATGATGTAGTTGTTTTCAGGATTGTTAATAAAAGCGCTTTTACTTAAACTGCATTTTCGCATTGGCATCATAGCTGGAGTTAACAGATACTGCAGTATGATTGCTGGTTGAGAAAATGATTCAGATACTTGTTTGCATGCGAAGAGATTTGTATCACAAATTTGGTGTTCTGCAGGTTCAGTATCTGTGGTAGCACAGGAAGCCATGCATCAGTGTTTTAATAGAACTAGATTATCTTTCAAAGGGGACAAAATTCGTCGTTTTAAATTTTATTTATTTTCGTCAAACGAATAATACTTTGCATTTAATCATTATCATTAAACGCATATTTAAGTCACGTTTTAGTTTAGTTGTCACGCAAAAAACCTTCGTCAGACTGCATTCAAGTTAATTTCGTTGACAAAAATGTTAACACTGGAGGCGATAACGGGTATCAGAAGGACAGGAGTCCGGGGAGCCGGATGAACGTAGGGTTTATTCAAGGTAAGACACACTCAAGCACGGAACAACAGGAAGGAATCACTCACAGAAACTTACTGAAATGCACAACGGCAATGAACATAACTAGAAACAGCTGATAAGACGGGGTAGCACGAGGTAGAGGAGGGGGCGTGGCACACAGTAGGATCGGAACAGCCGGTGTTCTGTCGAGGTAGGCTACCTTAGTGCTAATCGATAGCATCAGGGGCGCTGTAAAGGGGGGGTATACGATAACGATTCTCGGGGCCCATGACTGAGAGGGGGCCCAGAGAAAAAATTCTCAGCTGTGTTGGGGGCCCTGTCAAGATTCTTTTCATGGGGCCCAAAATCCTTAGCAGCGCCCCTGGATAGCATTAACCCTAACACCCAAAAAGCCCCTAAAACCCTTATCCCAGGGGTACCCAATTTTATCCGCAAAGGGCCGGTGTGTATGCAGGTTTTTGGGATAACTTGTAGGTCAGCTGTTCAAACCCAGGTGTGAGGACTCTTTCAGCCAATCAGTCCTCTAATTAGTAATCCAATTAGGGAGTTGCAGTGAAAACCTGCATACACACCGACCCTTTGCGGATAAGATTGGGTACCCCTGCCTTACCCTAACCCAAACCCTTAAAACCTAACCCTAACCCCAAAACGGTGGAGCTGCACATGCGCAGAAAGGCTCGATAGTACATCTCGATAGGTAGCTCAACTCGTCAGAATTCCGGGACATTACTTGTTATCTTGTTTGATAGTTACATTTTATGTAGCACCACTTTTTATGAGAATTAAATTGTATGTTTCATTGTACAGGTGTAGAAATGCAGCTGGCACGGTGCACAGTCTTCTTTCTCTCTTCTCTCAGATTCCCTCTATCATGCCTTTTCTCTACTCTCTCTGTCTGCTCTGGTTTCTTTTTCCCGTTGGCTGTGATCCCAGGCCCTCTCACACTCTGCTTCTCTCTCTATCTGTGTTGTGATGTGGGAGACTGTTTATCCTAAACTAGCAGACTACAGTACTTTTTTTCTGTTTTTGACAGTTGCATTTTATCTTCTAAAATGTGTAGCAACACAACAGTGCTTGCAAGTCTTGCATCGTTCTTTGTAGTGTGTGTTCTCTTTGCAGTGACCTTTATAGTCAGAGATGTCCATTAAATAAATATGCAATATATTGTGTATCTGTTTTGTCTCACAGTCATTATTCTTTTTCAGTGTCAGCCTTTTTCAGCTCTTGAGGACAGAGCATTGTCTGACAGCCTCAAACTGAAGGATCTTGGTCCTGTATTGCATAGAATATGTTTCCTAGCATCACAGTAATAATTAAATGCCTAGAATATCACCAGTCCTTTGACAAGTTAATGAATTTAAACCTAATGAATGCATTAATTTGTAGAACATTGTCACAGCAGTAAAACTATTTATCTCTGCAACTTAGTCACCTTGAAAACTGCGTGGTGTTTTTCGATTCATGTTTGCCTTCTGGTGCATCACCTGGTTCGTCTGGTAGGTCGGGCACCTCCAGTGTGGAGAGGAACCTGCCAGTCCTGGGCGACATGCAGTTTGCCGTGCGGCTGCAGATCGAGGAGGAGCAGTGGATCCACTAGGTGTGCCAGTAGGCTGAAACTGGGCTTACTATCATAAAATAATGCTGAGTTCCCAAAAATCAGCGACTGGGGTTAATAAAGGCAGAATGTAACAACTAGATCTTGCATGTGAAAGTTCTACTGCAAACACCAAAGGCTTAGTTATGTTTTGTTACTCCATCGTTACTCATAGGAAAATCTTGCCTGGGTGTCTAGGAAGTTTGGAATATGCACAGCAGAATTTCCAGACATTGGAAAAAGATGCACAGAAAATGGAGGAGAATGAAGTAAGCTGACCTCGTTTTCCGCCAGCAGCTCTGGTGAGAATGATCCCACGCTATACCTCCTGGAAACACCTTATCATTGCCGAATCTGAATCCTTTTATTCACCATGTACAAAAAATAGAGTGAATTCATTTTGGTGGTGGCGTGAGTTTAAAAATGATACCATCCAAGACAAAAGTACATAAAACAATACATGAAATAAGGATAAATAAGATGTAGAATAAGAAAATGTGCTATTAATTAATGAACAAATAGACATAGGCATATAAATAAGGGCTCGGTTCTTGGTGGTGGTGGAAAAGTGACCAAATTTGCCCCAGTGGTGAGCAGGAGGATGTATATTGTGACATCATAATGACACATACAATAGTCACATTGTGTGTTTTTGATATCCATCCACCCATTATTGTAACACTTACTGTATGTTCTTAGCCACACAGAGGGGACGTTTCTCTTCTTAATGGGAGATCTGTCTATGATTTAATGTGTGTGGAATTTCGGGAGATGTGAGGGATGCAGGGATTCTGCAGGAAGGAAGCTCCTCGCATGAAGGTTTGACATAAAATCTAATCATAATTAGAATTTTTTGACAACAACAAGAAATTAATTTTTTATAGTGCATTATCACAACATTACATTGTCCCAAAGCGCTTTACAGCATCCCCACCCAAAGCCCCCAGTGAGTAAGCCATAGGCGACA